AGCTCCAATCCATCTATATGGAAAATGAAAGAAATTGAATAATTCCCAAAGAATGATGAATGATTTGATATTTCTATTTTCTAATTTGATGAATATCAGGCATAATGAGATTATTTAAGGATTGCAGGGTATAAAAAAGCAGCTATACAAACTAAGAAAATGAGGTTGGTGATTGAATATACCTGTTTTTTGGATGAAGTTGGCTGAGGGGCATCAGTTGGCTTCAGATCCTGAACAATAGACTTGCTCTCCAGATCCCATATCTTCACACTCTCTTGAGTGGCAGCACAGAGCCAGTACCTGTTTGGACTGAAGCACAAGGCATGAATATATTTTCACATAATATATCCTTACCAGCAGTGTCACACCATCTTTGCCTCCACTGGCACACAGTGAGCCATCAGGACTCACAGCCACAGTGTTAACATACCCTCCGTGCCCTGCAAGAGTGCACCTGAGTTTGCAGTTGGTCAGGTTCCAAACTTTAACTGTACGATCCCAAGAGCCTGAGACAATTGTAGGTTGAAGGATGTTCGGGCTGAAACGGACACAGCTAACCCAGTTCGAATGTCCATCAGCATCTTGGATAGTGTACTTGCACTCACCTACAAGGTTGAGAATTGGTTGTCTTAAATTTATGAAAACATCAACTTCCCTAACAGTCTAAAATTCATTGGTACATGCATATTTAAGTAAAATTGACAGAATGCTGGAGACAAATGACACAAATATAAGCAGAAAACCATGAACATGATTAGCATTTATTTATCTACCAATTGTATATGGAAATTAGAAAACTACACTCACACAAGTTGACTAGCAACTTCACCAACAAAACAGTAATGAGATCATTTATATATACCTAATCAGTAAATATATTAAGCATAAACCTCGCTCAGAAATCAGGAAGAGTTTAATTCTAGTAGCATGTTTCGCAATCAGAGTATTTAATAATAATCAGCTAAATCATAATTCCCAAAGAAGTGGATGTTAAATATCATATTCCATTTGCATGCATACTTTTTTGCTTCCCAACCAGTGAAAGTGTCTCAATTATATACAATATGCATGACTCCAATCCAAGAATGATAAAAATGCTTTTTTATAGAATTAATGTGTCTCAAAACTTAAAATAACAAAATTAACACAAAATTTCATCAAATGCTGTTAAGCAAACAGAGTAGACAACATCAAGCAGTAATAGCAATGATTATGCAATCTCCCTTAATGTAATTCAGCATAGTTAACAAATATCATACATCTCATAATCTAGCAGAAGTAATGGAAGAAATTTCTCTTGTTAGTTTAATGCATAGCACATCACTCAACATACACAACAAAAGAGTAAGCATTTTCCCATATTTCATATTCAAACAATCTTTCAATATAAAAATAGTGGCCTGGAGTTTATACAACCACGTTTTCAAACAGGACTCACAACGAAAGTTCTTTTTATTGCATTCTTTGTATCAGAAATTTTGATGTCTTGCGTATTAGCTAGGCCATATAGCGCACTAGTTATCAAATAATCAGATTACACCAAACAAGTCTTTGATAGCTACACCGCTCCACCAATAGTAGAATTGGACGCTTCTCAGAATTCACCATACAAATCTTTCAAACTTGACATTCCAAATACATTAATCTGCATATTCCATTTCTTGCACAAAAGGTTTAGCAAATCATTTAGGAATGCACCTGAAGCAAATTAGAACCTTCTGAAGTATGCCTAACAATATTCTACAGAAAAGATTGAAATTTCTCAATTTTCATCTTAATAACCATAGAGATGTAAACTTTACATGGTGTACTACGTAGACAGTGGACTTTACCTTCTGCTATCTGATTGTTTGTCAACACAATATCCACTTGCAAAAGTTCAGATATTAATCTGTTAAAACATTTTTGTTCCCACTGAACACATGATAGTTGCAAAGAATTGTGATTCCGCATTGGAAATTAATCTAAGACCATTTAGGGAAATATGTAAAGCCACCTTGAAAGCCTCCTCCATGTCAGCAAAAATCGAAAACACATCTCTGAGAGAATTGGGCGGAAATGGATAGGAAAGCTATTACTCGTCAATAAAAAATATATCTCTCAATTGGCTCAAGTTTTTCCGATGATGATTCGTAACAAAACAAACACATGAAACTGCAGAAAGCTATTTCTGAATTGTATACTATGGTCTTGTACCCCATATCATAGGAGGAAATCAAATTATCTGCATCTATATAGGCCTGATAGCATCTAAAAAAATAAAATAACATCATAAAAATCAATTCTTACTTTAAGGGTCTGTTCGTTTATTTCCTAAAAATCAAGAAATGAAAATGGAAAAGGTGAAAAACTCAAAAAGTACAATTTCGTCCATTTCCATCCCTAAAACTCACCCACAACATCCAATAAAATATTATTTCCATCCAACAACTCATCTAATAAAATATTATTTTTATCTAACCACTCATCCATCACATCTAATAAAATATTATTTTCATCTAACAACTCATTCATCACATCTAATAAAATATTATTTTCATTCAAACATCACTCAACTCATCTCTTCTCATCATTTCAAATCACTCATATCATCCAATAAAATATTATAACTATTCACCTCATCTCATTAACAGTTCATTTCTTTGTTTTCATCCCAAAAAGTTGTGAAAACACTTTTCGTAAGTGTGGGTCACACCACCCAATAATACAATGACAACTCAACTCATCTCATCTCATTTCTTATTTTTAAGAATGAACCAAACAAAAGAAAACAACAAACTACAGGAAATAGGTTTCTTATAATTCATTTCCTTATTTTTTTTGCCAACCAAACAACATCAAAACTAGTTTTCTTAAAAAATCACTCACATCATCCAATAATAATGTGACAACTAACATTATTTCATCTCCATTTCTTTGATTTCCTTCTTTTTTAGCCAACCAAACACTCCAAAAACAATTCTTCATTTTAATAGTTTTCCATTTCTTTGATTTCCCTCTTTTTTTTAGGCAAACGAACAGGCCCTAAGCCTACATTGCACTTGAAACTTCAAACAAATATCAGATGCAGTCCTATTAAAAAACAAACAATCATTTAGACTACAAAAGATCCCCTTTTCCTTTTTAATCGAATTCCCACATTAAGTTAACAGAAATATTACTCCACAAAATGTTTTACATTACCTAGTACATTTTTCCATCTAAACATAAATACCCCAGAGATCGAATTCTACTACACCAAAATACGCAGCAAATCCAAACTAAAAATGAAATAATATTCAACATAACCATAAAAATTTCACCTTTGAGAAACCAAAAAAATACCTAGAGTGTTCCAAAGCTTGATGGTACGATCCCTAGACGCCGACACGATCTGGCGATTGTCAACAGAGAAAGCAACAGAGAGTACGTCCTTGGTATGGCCCACGAACCTCCTCGTAGTCGCCCCAGTGTTCAGATCCCAGAGCCTGAGCTCGCCGTCCCAGGATCCGGAGAGCGCGAACTGGCCATCGGAGGAGAGAACGACGTCCTGAACGAAGTGCGAGTGGCCGGTGAGGCGGCGGCGGGGGACGCCGTAGATGGCGGTGGAGGGGTCCATGGAGGAGTTGGCAGTGTCCTTGGTGAGGGTCCACACGAGCACGGACTTGTCGCGTGAGGAGGTGACGATCATGTCGGTGTTGTCGATGGGGGCCGCGATGGCCGTCACCATGTCGGCGTGGCCCTTCATCACGCCCTTCATAACTAGGGTTTCGGCCATGGCGGATGAGATCCGAGAGAGAAACCGGGGGTGGGGGGAGTAGATGGGGAAGAGATCTGCGGCTAGGGTTTTGATAAAGAGAGGGAGCGGAAGCGCGGCGATTAGGGCTTATATAGGGCTCGAGGACGGGGTTTTGTGAGGGGTTAGATCAGAGCCGTTGATTTGAGTTTAATTGGTTTATTTGCATTTAGGTGCCCAAAAGTTTCATAGCCTTGTCTAACCCCGTGCCGGCCGTAACGGGGATTTATCTCTGATAAACAATGGTCCATCAAATATTTCACTTTTTGAATTTATGACCTCAAATAATTGAGATTTGAGGCTCCTAATTCACGTAAGTTGTTTCGGATAGTACTTATATTAGTTTTTATTGTCTAATATGCTAAACTCTAATTGAGTTAATGATTAACTCAAAAGGGTGAATAGTATTGTTGTCTTCACTTGGTGCTTTTTCCTTTTCAAAATTTCATTTTTTTTCCACTGCTTTTTTATAGTATAGAGAATTCAAATCCCTTTTTCCCTCTCTTTTATCTCCAAGACAACAAAACGGGTTCAAGGAAAGTAACATGTATTTGACTTTAACATATAACTTGTATCTATGAGCATATTTGACAACCTATCTATTTTAACTTTGTAAGTAGGTTTTTTATTTATAAGGTCTCTAAATTATGTTTGTTAGAGTACTTATTTTTATCTTATAACTAGAGAAAAAAACATGTTGGTATTTCTCAACTTTTTTTAATGCCTATAAAGATATTTTATTTATTGTTATTAAAAGACTACTTTACCTTCTAATGAAATAAGTAATAAGTACCTTATAAGGTTTCAAGAAATAAGTACTAGCCAACTGCCTATAATAAGTCAAAAGCATTTTCAATGATACCAAACAAGTGGACAAAATTGAAATAATTTATGAAATGAGGGATCTAATGGCAACTTCAATATATATATTCATGATTTTATTTAAACTTGAGTTTGAGATGTCATTATTGGAAACATGACATACAATAAGGCGGGATATGCATATCATAACTACTAGTCAAAATTAATCAAGAATTAGAATAATATCTGAAACGCTTTTCAAATTTCTTCAATAATTTGTCCTAAAATCAACCCGAAAATAGCTTCCTCAAAAGAAAAAACCTCCAATTAAAATCCATTCGTCACCAAAGAGGAGCAATACTAAGAGTGGTTTTTCTATAGAATGCCCATGGGCACTCTATAAGAGAGGAGAGAAATAGAGATAAATGAATGAGAAGAGGATCCCAATGCAAATCAGGGGACCCCCCTCCTCATTCATTTCTCTCTATATCTCTCCTCTCTTATAGAGTGCTCATGGGCACTCTATAGAAAAACTGTACTAAGAGATATGTTCTCAAATTTCTATTTCTTTTTTGTTATTTTCTTCTCATAAGGCTACATGTGAACCCTATATATAAGATCAGCCTTGCCTTGTAGATTTTAATTTTAAACAATTCTTAACTTTTCAAAACTCCTTTCCATAATAATTAAAGATAGAATAATTTTCCATAAGAATTAAATATAGAATAATTTTTTCATAACACTTAATGATAGAAATAAAATTGTGTTGCATGTATACCTCTTTTAACGATATTAATGAGACGGCCAATTGGGTCTCATATCGAGAACTAATTATTAATCAAATTAATAATTTTAATCTAACAATCAAATCCTTATCCGATCAACTGTTAATAAAAAGCTCTTTCATAATATAAAGTTATTATTCATATATAATATCTCACACTTAACTCCCTCCAGTATTATTTATTTTAGCCATCTCTTTTGATCAAGACAATTTATCTATTTGCTCATATCTAAATGATAATTTCCATGAACATAGATAAAAAATATTTTGAAACATCAAAACATTTTATTTTTATGAGAAAATAAATTTTAAAAAATATCTTTTAGAAG